GGGAGTGTTCAGGTTGGTGGTAGGTCGAGGGAGGGTAGTGGGTATCACCAGCAGGCACATTCTACAAGACAGATCAGACGAGAAATAGGAGATAGAAGGTGATACGTACTATAGATGGGCGGAGAGGCTGCTCTTTGCGAACGGTCACGTCGGCATCGTCCACATCCCAATCTTCACTCCCCGTACTCGCCCCACTATACCTCCCCCTAGTATGCCCCTGCACCGTCAAACTATTCCCTTGCGACGGAGTCGGCTGGCCAAGTCTAGCCTGTGAAGGGCGTGGCTGCGGGCCTGCACCACCACTCCCACTAGGCTGTCGTGTGATGATCCGAGTGTTGGACGAACCGGCCCTCAAGTGTGCATTGCTCGTCGCAGCCCTAACTCCAATATTACCATTGGTATTCCCCTGGGTATTGCTGTTGGATCTGAGTCGAGTATTGGACCGTGTATTGTGGACAAAAGTATGGATGGGGGCGGCGGCGGGGACCGGCGAGTTGCGTGGGGAATTGGCGAATTCGAAATCGTCATCCCAATTCTCTTCTACAAATCACATAAAATGGGAAAGATTTGTTAGCAAAGATTGAGTGGTATGGTCGCTTAAGAGGGGCGAGAAGCAGAGCGGAGACAAGAGAGACAGCACTGGGGTTGGGTGATAGTACGATTTTTTCATGTTGGCGAGCGCTGAGTGGAGTATTGGCGTTCAGCAGGTCGCGAGTCGTCACTTGAATGCGTCGAGAATTAGACGAGAAATTGTCGAGGCCCAGATTGGAGTCGCTTTGTGCGATCCGAGCGGACCAGCCCGCTCAGACCACCAGCCACCAAAACTAGACACGAGCGGCACGACGACGCATAGCCAGCCTAGAACGAGCGATAGACGGTCGTAGTAGTCGAGTAGAGATTATCGTGTGATTTTGAGACCATGTAGATGCGTTGATTGACCACCGCACTCGTCCATCCCCAGTGACTGTGCCAGCCCAAAAGTCGCTCGCTGGGATAATTGCTCACCTTGTGGTAAAGTAGATCTCGCTAGCATTTCGAGAGGTATGCAACCATCGACTGGATCCTGTTAGATGTAGTTGGGTATAAGAGAGATATAACAACAGGGACAAGAAGGTCGGCGGTCGAAGACAGAAAGCTAGCCCAAGTCGTCCAAACGCCAAACAAGCGGTGTGGTTGTTGTGCTCGAGCGGGCTGGAGGGTATAGGAATGCGGCTGAAATATGGACAATATTCGAGATAAATTCAGAGGACGAAATGGAGTACAAAAGTGAGTGGATAAGGTTTGCGCAGAGCGAGTGTTCTACGACTGCCTCGAGGAGAGGTTCAGTGGGGACACGTGCTGATCATTGCCCATACATGGTACTCAATTGACGCCCTCGACGAGCTCAACATATACACGAATATCTCTCAAATCTAGAAGGAGATCATTATCAGGGCAGTTAAAAAGTGATTATTTGTCGAGTGTACTGGGTATTTACGTCGTCGTCGCGCTGTTTCTCCGACACTCGCATCAATACCGACCCTAGCCTTCTCCAGATTCGTATTCCCAGACAAAAAGTTGCGCTGATGGACAGTACGAGATACACTTGTCTACGCAACTCCCCTCGTCCCTCTCCCCCTATGCCCACCAAGTCCAGGGGGGGAGTGAGGGCAGCAGGTGAGGCATAAAGTCTATCCTCGCTTATGCCCCTGGCCTGGAGGCCTACTACGGACCGGTCTCTAGATTGCCGTACATTCGTCAAAATACACTCATCCAGCGCTTCCAAATGCAATAGTGACTAACAATATACTATCACACAAACGTACTGTGTCCCACTTCGCTAAAGGCGTACGCCCTGAGGTACCATAACCTGAAACCCTGATGTCGACGGGGGGGCATGCGTCCTTCTATTTGATTACTTTGTCGTCTCTGTTCATCGCATACGTTTAGCGGCCAACATGCTGCCCTAGGGAGGCGACCACCGGAAGAAGGCGTATTTACCGCATTTCTCTTTCATGCAATCGCAACTAATCGTTTCTCGATCAAAGAAGTGGTGGAGGAATTCGATTGACGATTGGCGATTGGCATCCACCCCGGATACCGAGCCGAACAGCCTACAATGTCGAGTTTACAGTGTTTCGACGTATGAAAAACTTGCTGGGGACAAGCTGTACATGCAAATAGCTCCTGTGGCGACCTCCCACCAACCGTGTGGGTTGGGCCTGTCGAATATGGATTCGTGTGCATAGATCCTCTCTATTGGTGCATGACAGAGAGCATTGTTGGACTATCCGAGCTCAGCTTTCGCTGGTACATTCCGAACTGCAGGGATTAGAGTCGAACCCCAAATCGATCGCGTGTATTCCCCATGTTTCGGTCATTAAATCGAACGAGTGATCGTCGCCGGTCGAAATCTGCAATCGGCTCACGGCGGATACCGAGATACCAACTCCGACAGGGTCAGCCCCTCAGCAAAAGGTGATTGTTCTACCTCTTATTATCCCTCTTTTCGACTCTAATCCCATTAATCCTCATTTTTCGTTCATCTCTTCCGTCTACTCTCCCGTCAATGTTCCCTTCCCATGTCTCCCACGAACGTGAATCGGTGCCCTCTGGCGCTTTGGGGGATAATCAAACTTGCTACTGAGCAACAGAGTACTTTAAAAATCAATAGTATATCTACGATGCTTACTTTTCCATGATAGGCCGTGTGTATCACACCCAGATCGAAATGGTCTCGATCGGGTATGCCATTCTCCTATGAACGTCAAGGGAAATCCCCGATGGACCACAGAGGCCGGTCAATTGAGTTCGGAAAATGAATGGCGAGTCCTTGTTCGAGGGCTGGTCAATTCAGTCCCACTTGGATCCCCGTTCGCGGTTCTGACCTCACTATAGTTTGTTCAAATGCAAGCTAATTCGCCCACAACGTCCGTAAATTCCAGACTAAGATTGATGAGAGATGCAAAAAAATACCAAAGGAAATTTGTACGTGGTACTATGGAGGAACGCGCTTGGACGGCGCTTGCCCTGGTCAGTCCACACCACCCATTCCCTCTACACCTCCTGCCTTCGTTACGTGCGAGCTAAATAATTACATTTTGCATGGAACATGAGGATAGGAGATATGATCTCTATGGCCCTCTCTACTACATGCTCCTCACGGCGATATTTAGCTTTTTTTGATGGTGAACAATCACCCGTTTCTCACAGCGCCCAATTCTGAGTTAACTCGTGTCTCAAACTCCACTGCACGTTCGCTGGCCATGTGTCCATACGGAATACCATGGAAGCTTCAAACTGCCCAATTATAAAGCGTCGAAACGCAACCAAGGAATAAAGAGCAAGGCAATCCACAGCATTGGGTAGGTTTCTCTAGTAACAGTTCAGGAATCGACTCGCTTACACACTCTGCGTACCGGTGCACGACGAGAGGAATACTGGACCATCGGACATTGTCTTTCGCCGGGCCTTGTTAACGTTATCGGGGATTAGGGGCAAATATCAAATCTAACGATCATACTATAATCAATAATCGGCAGTTTGGCGCAATTATTATCGCCGTTAGAAGCCAAAGTCCATACTGAGGCAGCGCACTGATCCCAAAACCTCTTTGGCTTGTCCTGAAAGATCTCTTTGTTACCATCTGCTTTCTCAGGGTCTGTCAATTAGCCCTCGAGCGCCGCGAATACCATCCAAACTGTGATCCCTATCGCATAGCTCAGAATTTCAAATCATACATATGACATACTCTCTTCATCCCTGAGCGTGTATGAATGCTGGGATTATTCAGATTCACGGCTTTCTAACCCGGTGGATCAAAAGACGGCCTCACCAACCCGACCCCTTTCTGCGCCAGGGTCCCTCAATCCACTGCGCCACAATGTGGACCTCTTCACCGAAGGTAAAAGAATCCCCTATCGAGCTCATTAAATGACATGTGAGAGTGACAAAATACTGTTCTACACGTAGGTGATAGGTTCGGCGATTGAGAGGCCGGCGCGCCGCCGGGCATGCTCCTCCGACGGGACAGCTAGCCCTCACCGTTGCAGGTCGAGAATGCCGTAATGAAACCTCAAAATAACTTTATCGTTATCGTATTTGCCTATATATAGCCCCAAATCTCCGAGGTGATGCTTACCCATCTTCAACCCCACGTACCAAACGCATCATTTTTAGAGATTCCCGCTCCACCATGATTAGGTCAATCCATGCCAATGGGACTAGACAGACGGAGATCCCAAAGGATACAAGTGGAATTAGAATCCTTAGCTTTGGTCTGTACCTTATCTTTGACCCTCTGCGTTACCTGTTCCTCATCAATGCCGGTTTTCTTTCCAGATGGTGGAGGACCTGGCTGCTTCTCACAACTCATTATTCTGGACGAGATAATGTCTCGAGTCGCCCATGACAGATCTATCGACAAGAAGCAAATGTACCCAGCTGACCACTTTGACTTGATGGGTGGCGTTGGCTTTGGCGCGTACGTTCTTCCATGACCTCTTTAACGATGAGTTGAAAGGACATGTAGATATGTCGCATTTATGCTGGGATCTCTTCGATTGAGTATTAAGGATGCGATGAAAGAGCTCCATGCTTTGGGCAAGAAGCTCGAAACTGAATCAGCCGGACGAAAGGAACCGCTCATCGTTCAGCATAGAGCCTACTGGAACGTTCTGATCCTTCAGCATCTCTTGGACCCCTATCTTCAGAATTTCGACCCCTCTCTGTGGGTCGAGTGTTTGCTTGGCTGATTCAGTTTCGAGCTTC